CCGCACACCGTTGTTCCAATTTGGAGAGTGAAAGGAAATCAAATTCGAGTGGTCCATCAGCAAAAATCCCCGAATCTGTGGAGTAGCCAGTCTGTGATCGGCGATTTCCTTCTCACCTTTGACTTTCTTCTCGCTCTGAACAACGTCACTAGCGAGTCATTAGGAGTCGATTTTGAATGAGTCGATAAAGCAATGAATCCTCAAACAATTGAAATTTACCAATTGTCTTACCATTTCGGCCGCTAGCATGTCGATCACAACTATTCTAGGATGATTCAGAAGAAAACTACCATTCGCTAATAGTGGCACATCGGCGGTTTTGAACAATCGAACGCGATATTTACCCAGCTGAACAGATATTTATACACTCAGAAGTACCAACATCTTTATTTATAGGCCAGAACCAGGCCCTTATCCTAGAACTGAAGCGATCAGCTGACATTTCGGTGACTTTGGCCTTCTTCGGATATGGACAACCTCATTTTTCCAGATTCTGAAGAAAGTGAACTCACCAAAATCCTAGCTGTTCAAACAAACTGTATTATAACAACCTTATATTTGGCTTATGAGCGCATGTGGCGCAGTGGTTAAAGGTGCTCTGCGTCGCACACGAGGTCAACGGTTCGATCTTGCGCTCATGGCTCACCAAGCCATCCATCCCTCCGGGGTCGGTAAATTGGTACCAGACAGGTCTCAGACTTGTCTGGGAGGATAAGCAGCACTGACTCGGTTTAGCGGGAGGCCTCCGCGAGTCATTGTAAAGGCCAGATAAGCATTCAATCACCTCAAACGAAGTTAAAAATTGAAGTCGAATGCATGGCGCATCCCTCAGGGATTGATCAAAGCCAAGAGCTTTATCCTTTATCCTTTTATATTTGGCTTATAAAAGAATATAAAAGGCCAGAAAGTTCTCGGCGTTGATCAATTTGAAGGATGAGTGATCATTTGTCTTCATCAAGAGTCGTTTAAGAGAATTTAATGTATATCCAGCCTTTACAATGACTCTCGTTGCCCCAGTGATGTTTCCAGTCACTGTTTCAATCATTCCAGACAGCTCTTATGCCAAATCATCAAGCTCGGAAGGATGGAAAGCTTGGTCGACTTTAGGCGCGGGTTGCATCCATCGACAATGGATCGATCGACCACGAGTATCATGCAGAACACCTCTAACCAGTGTGCCAAACGCGCTTGAAAAAGAAAAATAGGTACCGGTGTGTTATACGGCGAGAAATGAAGATTCGACTCTTTTCGCTGGACAAAAACTTCATAAGATTGTTAATATTCTTTCAAAAGCTTAAATCTCTGGCTAATGCGCTACGTGTTCCTTTTTGAATAAGACCTTTTATGAACCTGTAACATCCAAAACAAAATCATGTTTCATACCGGCTGCGCACTTCAACCATTACTTCGCTGGAACCAGGTAAAGCACATGGACGTGTAGAGGAAATCTTGTAGTATCAGAGCCGTAGTTTTTTATCTCGAGTTTCCTTCAGAACGAAGAGGAAATCTTGAATTAGATAACAGAAACTGCACTTCACATGTGTAAAGCGCTTAGGCGGTCGATCGATTGCCACATGGAATCCACGGCCAGCACCCCCTGCCTCCGCCTAACCCACACATTAGCCAAAAAACAATGTCTGCATATGTGAAACCTCGTCTCATTTTCCCTGCTACACTGCAGTGAAACGGTCTTTCCACGATATAAGCACATCGTTGGAAACGTGGAAACTTACGCTATCGAATGGCTACCCGTAGCTCCAGGAAACAGCTTTATCATGCGAGAAAAAGCGTGTGTGAAACACAAATGTTTTCTTTCTGGTACGACGCTATAACCATGGCTTTCAAGAAATGGTCACGTGCGGTACTAGCCAGAGATTTATGTTTTCGAATGACAATCAATAATGCAATGGAAACTCTTTGTCCATCAAAAAATGTCGTTTCTTCATTTGTCGCCCTATGACAGACAAGTATCGAAAATGAAAGAAAAACAGTGAATTACCAAACGACAGTTGATAGATATTATACCTTTGCTTCGAGTGTTTTGTTAAACCACGCTCAAATCATATTAGATCCTTTCATTAATATTTGTGCCAACTTGTCATGTGGTCTGGTAAGGGCTCTTGTACAGCCCGAGACACGTGTTTCGTCCTTACAGACTCATCAGCTGGGCAGAACCCGTCGTCTTTCGATCTTCTAATTAGTCAGTTCTCTCGGGAGCCCTACTCTCCCTACAGAGAGGTATCGTCGATGAACGTTTGACACTCTATGTCAAGTGAAATTTTCATCTAACACTTGACACTAAAGTCTTTCACTTGACATAGAGTGTAAAACGTTCGTCTTCGATGACTCGCTATAAGGAGTGTAACGCTCCCGAGAGAACTGACTATGAAAAGATCGAAAGACGACGGGTTCTGCCCGACTGACGAGTCTGTAAGGACGAAACACATGTCTCGGGCTGTACAAGAGCCCTTATCAGACCACATGACATGTTGGCTCAAATAATTATGAAAGGTTGGTAGATAGTCAGTCTTGGTAGAAACTAACAAATATCTCGTCTGTAAACTTGAGAATCATACCAGTAAGTTTCCACTCCAGTCTCCTTTGTCCTTGCCATTTGTATGGAGAAGCTCCTTTCGAATTATTGCCTCAGTCATCTTAATAAGTTATCAAGACATACGAGACAGAACACAAATGAACAGGATATAATAAATAAGAAATGAAAGAAAATAAAAGCACAAAATAAAATAACATGCAAAATAAAACAAACACGGATCAATACGCACTGAATAAACACCGACCGCACCCGATAAAGTTTTATCTGAAAGAATCTCATCTTGGAGGGGAAAAAATGGAAGCAAACATAGCGAGCATTTATGGATGAAAGAACCGCATATACAAAAAAAAAGAAAATATCATCAGCAAAATCGAGAAGCACTAAAAAAACCCCTCGGAAAGGGTGAGACGCGGGTTCGATTCCCGCCTGAGATTCATCCTTTATCATATCACTCAGTAGTCTTTGACAGGGATAAGGGATAAAGCTCTCGGCATCGAGCAATCTTTGAGGGATTTGACATGCATCCGATTCCATTCGTAGCTTTGTTAGAGGCGAGTGGATGCATATCTGGCTTTTTGAGTTGCTCTCGATGTCCTACCTATTGTATCGAGTCAGTGCTGCTTATCCTCCCGAACAAGTCTGGTAGCAATTTATCGACCCTGAAGAGATTGATGGCTTGGTGTGGCTCGAGCGCGGGTCGAATCATTGACATTGTGCCGCATAGCAACCACTCTAACCACTACGCCACACGCTCTCCCAGTCTTCGATATCTAACTTAATAATATATCACTGCTATAAAGGCGGTAAAGTAAGGAATTCCAGTGGTTAAAAAAAGTCGACGGTTGAAACCAATGCTGCGTCCTTCCACTAAAATGTTTCCGTTTTAGGACAAATCAGATACGGCAATAAAAAGAATTCGAGCATACCCAATAATGTGGAGTGCTGTGCAAAAACATTTGCGTCAGCCGGGATTCGAACCCAGATCTCACTCTTTCCAGGAGCGTTTGCTAACCGTTGCACCACCGACGCTCGCATCAATCACCACAATTCGAGCATATTCTTCACGATGCGAATTTTCGCTATTCGGAAGGATTCTGGACAAAAAAAAAGACAAGATAAGTCTCTGGACGGTGGACAAAACCGCAAGTATGAACGGCGAAAGGAAGACTTCAGCACTCGCATTTTGATTTCACCTCTGAGCGCGCGCTACGAAAAAGCGCGGGAAAATCAAATTCACATTTTTTTATCCTCCATTGGTCCACGTTTACTACAAGTTCAGAGTAAACTACTTAGAATAGAGTCACAAGTCTCAGCTAATAATAAACTTTTGATGGACTTCGCTTTATGCTTGCTATTAATTTTACGAAGTGAAGTTTGCTAAAAGTATCACAATCTACTGATTATTTCCTACCAGACCAAAGTTCCCTCGCTTTTAAACCCCTGGATACGATAGAGCCACGACGGTAGCCCCGCCCCGCCGCGCGCGGTGACCAGCAGTCCACTGTGCAGAGTAGTTAGTGACGCCGGCCATTGGGAAGAGGTTGCTGGTTCGATATTCTTCCATCACGCTTTACAGGAGATTTTTTGGCGTCAACTGGTATTGAAAGTTCTTATGTAGACGCAGTTTTATTGAAGAAGGTGTCTAGCATTTCACTACTTTTTAAACGAAGGGTAAATCCATGAGGTGAAAACGCATATCCAATTTTTTTTGCATATTTCCCGAGAATGTTGTAGAGGTAAAATGCTGAAACATTATTTCTGCAGTATATGCCTTCTTAGAAAAAATTTTGTAAAAGTGGATGCAGTCAGTTTTGAGAAGTGCGTAAGATCCGGTGCTACCCCATAGATCTACATTTCGTATCAAGAATCGGTGAAATGTTAGGCCTTATTAAGAGCTTTCCTTTTCTATCATAAGTACGTTTTTAGAGGAGCCTTCGATACTTATCGATACCAAAAGCCTTATGTGAAGCGTCGTGGTAGGGGACTGAACCCCTAACCTTTTTCCCGATAGCCGGCATCACTCAGCACAGCTGCTACCCGTCCCGCGCGCGACGAGGCGGAGCTAGCGCCGTGGCACTAGCGTACTCTAAGGGTTAACTATGATAAAATCGTAGTTGTCTAAAGAACACGTGTTTTCATGTCCTTTGAATGAGAAGAACTAATTTGTCCTTGGCATTGTCAATCAATAATAGTTTGGTTTATGATTGAGCTAATGCCACGGTGTGGATGATAAACTTTATTCGGTTAACGTTTCGACACCGTCTTCTTCGGCGCCGATGATTTGAGCCGAAGGTGAACTCGAAGAAGACTGAGACGTCGAGAAGCCGATTGAGGTCTATTATCAAAGTTGTGATATCAATCAAGACTCCTTGTGTTTTAACTGCATCTTCCGCAGTGTTATGATGTTTCATATGTATTCAAAAGAATTGAGTGATGAGCGAAAATTCGCCTCAGGCGGGAGTCGAACCCGCGTTTCACCCATTCGGGGGCGCGAGCTACCACTGCATCACAGAGGCCACCACTTACCCACCACTCGTTCTTCACTATTTCACTATCACAGCTATCAGCTATCAACCGTCAGCAGGTTAGGTCGGGTGAGCACTTATCGCTGTCTAAGCTCAGTCACGTAACGCTGCGATAAAAGCGGTTAAAACATAATGAATTTTCAACAATATGTATGCACAATGGCTAATAGTTAGGTGCGTTTAGGAAGCGATATGTACTCACACGAACACACTTGTTAGCGGTTGGTGGTTTATAGATATGATAGTAAGACATTGAAGAATGAGTGATGGGTAAGTGGTGTCCTCGGTGGTATGGCAGCAGCACGCGCCCCCGCTATGGGTAGACTGCGGGTTCAACTTCCATTTAAGGTCTAATTTTTCGTTGTGATATTAGTTAAGTCACAAAAAAAGTACTTGACGTTTGACCTTCACACTAATTTTCCTCACTATGCGGATCACAGCCCTTTTAGCATTTATTTCATTTTTTCATCTTCATCTTTAACGTTATAGAATACTACTTGAGCACGTCTCCTTGCAATCCCGAAGATAGTCTACCTAAAATGTTTTATAGGGCGTTCGTTCTTGAATGCCAGAGAGTGTTTGAAAGTGGAATTTGCTCTACGTGCACCTCGATGAGCGTCATAATCACTCAACCACGACGCCCTCCAAAAAAAGAAAAATTGTCGAGGTCAGTTTTGTCCAGAAAGACAGAATGGTTTCCCCATTATATGTGTTGGTTTTCGTGACTGCCGTGCCAATGACAGAAATTGCAAGCAATTCAATTACACCCTATATTTTCAAAATTTCGATTTTGAACATGAACAATCGCCAAAACAGATTTTATTTCGGGTCCTCAGCCATGAAAGGATTCATGATCCAACTACAGGTGTAGACGTATTTTCCTATAGCGCAGAAGGACATCATAACCAAACTGTGCGCGACTTTTCCAGATGCGGTACGGTTGTTGCCCGTGTGTACCAAAATTTGTAGGTGTACCCGGTCAAGCAAATTTTGCGTGACTTGAGACCTGTTGCGCCCTTCAGGTAATCATGTCAACAGTAGGCGAGTCTATTGTTCCATAAGAACTTCATCCTTGCACGATCGGTAACCAAACTGGTTTGGGATATAAGAAACACTGATTAGATAAATTGATGGCCCTTTGCAAGCCCTTGTGTTTACCAAGTGTGCGTTGACCTACCTCTGTGACGCTAGGAATTGTGCCAAAGGCATAATGTATCTCAAGGAAGTGGCTAACTTTGGCCGTTTTTCCTTTTATCCGATCAAACTACTGTAAAATTTCTCGGAATCCATGGTTTGCTTTCCTTTTCGTCAACTGGTACTAATCCGACTTCTGCAGAATGCAGGTTTGCTTTCCTTTGCGTCATCTGGTACTAATCCGACTTCTGCAGAATGCATTGTGACTGGAGGAACCGTTGATATCGGATAACAATCGCCTAAAGGCCGTCCGTTTTCTGGAAAACTTCTAAATGATGTTTAATCACTTAGACATAGTAGTAGTCCTATATGAAAAAGCAACGCTGAGGACGCTAATTCAATTGTGAAGTGATCCACTCTACTCGACTCGTTATAATGAGTCGGCTACGAGAATCAACATCGCAAGACCAAATGCTGTGGAATTCAGTGCGAATCATCGTGGTTCTGATCAAGCGAAACAGCCGAGACAGGCATAACAAGAATTCATGAAAATTTCGTGTCAGCTCATCAGTGGACAGATTATTGATCGCCCAAGCTTAGATTTAAAAAAAGTTGTAATTCGTGGTTGCTGAGACATTCTGTGAACAAGTGTCATTAGGATATGTGATGATATGACTTTTGATAACAGATATGCAACATTTCAGTGGTGGAAGTAAAAGAAAAAGTCTATTTGTTGCAAAAATATTGTTTATCTTTATTATTTATGGCGATATAAAAATACTGAAGATATTCTTGATTTACGGAGAGATCAACTGAATAAAATAAAATTGAAATGGGAAATTAAAATTAGATTAAAATGGAAAAATTTTCTCGTCCTGTTTTTTCGTTTGTTTGTTTTTTTTTTTGCATTTTCTATTGACCGCTCTTCTATAGATCCGCTCAAAATGATATAATCTCATAAGGAAATAACTTGTTTTGAGCTGTTACGTCAAGTGTTATAGAGGTACCTGTTTCGTTCTATTGGGCCTCAACAGTGCCACCCTTCCTCGGATCAGGCGATCGCCTAAGGTTGAATAATGCTCTATAAAAGAATTGACGCCGAGTAATGAATCACACCAAGTCAGATGTGGAGCTACCCGACATTGTGGTGACCGGCTGAACCGAGGGAGAGTACTACTGGTGAGTTCCAATGGACGAAGCAGGTACCTATATAGCACTAGACCTAACACTACAAGATATTCTAAATCCTTATCGGATTATACAATTTTGGTTGCATTAATCACCTAAAATTTTGCTACTTCGAAGTTGTCGAAACGTGCTCCTACATTTTGTTTCCGTGGTTCGATAATATTCGTGGCTTAAACATTTGCAAACGACTTAGTACACCCTGTGTTAGAAAGGTCTATGCTCTATATGGTAGCCCTGCTTCTTACTCTAATTTGAAGCTGTGATTATAGAACTTTTTACTATAAATTAATAGTGTTCGTTATAAATTCCAATTAAAAGAGTCCATTAATAGCTGGACTAGGAATACGAAGGAGAACCGCTTAGCGTTCGTCGATTTTCAGAAATGGGACTTGCATTTGGCTTCTAAAGTATACTAGAGGTGTTTGAATAGATATTTAAAATACTTGCGGTTGTCTAGATTTATGAAGTCAATGCTTCTTCTTGACTGAAATTAGACATTCCAACGAAATCTGGTTCCACTTCGACACGGCTGCAAGCACGGTTATCTCGTAATGCTTAATCAGCCCAACTACGCTTTTTGGCTCAGTTTGTCTGATCGCTAAGCTATCTAGCGCTATACCACGAGCATACGAGCAAATGAAGCCTCAACCGCGTGACAGTCATAATCCGATTGTTTTTTTTTTTCACTAATTCCGCCACCACTGTTACTGGTGCTACTATAAAGATGCTTTAGTCTGTTACTGCAGCTACTTATAGGACTCAACTTGATCGCGAAACTAGGTGTGCATCAGAACTCGAACTATTTCATTTTTATATTGCTGTAGCCGCAAATTTAGTAATATTTTTGATTAATATGATCATTTGCTTGTCTAAGGTATAGACCATTCCGCTGCAGTAGTTGATTTATTCTTCAATTCATCTATTTTATGAATACCTATCCTAACTAAATCAGCTTGCGTCCAGAAAATTTTCAAAAGAACGGCATCAAAACATAGTTTCAATGCATTATTGATAACTCTTCATTGTTTGTGAAATTCAACTTTTGAATTTTTTCTCCAATGAATACTTTATTTGTTGACCATCTACCGATAAGCACAGCGTGCTAGTGGGTTTAAGTGCTGTGCAAAACTAGAGTTCATCCATTCAGCAAAGTTTATGAAGAGAATGAGTTCGACATTTATGATTTCAAACAAAAAACAGGCTTTCAAAGGATTGTGTAGCCAACAGACCTTTTCTAAAGCTCGCTAGAGCTACTAATAGTGCTAACATTTCTATGAGAAATTTAGGTGAGAAAGGACTAAATCAATTAACAAAGTTCCAACTAGGTGAAAGGTGTCGAGTAGGTATTTTTTCGTTGTAATTAGTACTTTTTGATCGCTTCACTGAATTTTTCACCGATTTACTGGCTCAGTTAAGCTGAATACAACGAAGTAAGTGATATTTAATACTATTATTCTCGCTTCTGCAAATTTTTCGTCATTGTGAAGAATGAGGAGTTGAACTTCATAAACAAAGAAGAGAAGTAAAATGGAACCAGTTCGTTGTCAGGAATAGGGATTTAGGAAATTGGAGCTAAATGCCTTTGCTCACACACTCTCGTTTTCGACGAGAGTCACACATACTCAGTTTATTGCTTTATTATTAAATGCTGCACAAGTTTACCTCGTCAGTCCCAACCATTGTCTCTATGAATGGGTGAGCAGCTATGAACATCTCGGGAATCTCTCCACTGAACTTTGCACCAAATCCTAAATCAATCAAAAATCCTAAAAAATGATTCAAACAGATTTATTTTCTATCATTTCTAGTGTCAAAGTCTCTGCATTTTTTCTTTCTGCAACCAGCAACAAGATCGTTGATCAGTTTTGTTGCAATATCCATCATTCCATGCACTTTCAAAGATGATTTTGGTTGCTTACTGAAAACAAATTGAAGGCACCGTTCGCCTTTGATCGAGATTTTTGTGCAACTCCGTAGGTTCATGTTAGGCATTTGACTCATTGAGTTGCAAATGAGAAGACGAAAATGAAGAAGGGGAAACAAACTTACCGGGCTTCAACAATCTTTCAAGAATTTGCCGCGCACTAGACACTCCTTTAGTAGGGGGCTACGATTCAAGCTCTGATTTGAGTAGGCTGGTGACTGTCGTAAAACACTACAGAGTTATATCCACAAGAACGTTGAGATAACGAAACTGGAAGCCCAATGTATGTATATCGGATATCGACCTATTATTCGGAGTTAGCTTACATTCACACCACATCATTAAGACTCGTGACTTTCTGTCGATTATGTTTAAACTGTAATTTTTGGTTGTCAGTGAATACTCTTCAACGACTTATTCCTGTGGCTGTATTTCACATCGTACCTGCCGAAAAAAAAAGTTTCAGGCGATACGAGTTACTCAGATCGTGGTGAATCCAAAGAGAAATGGACAACGAGGTTTCCTTTATTTGGTATTTTCTGCAAAAAAGTCGCAATTTTCTAAGATACCTCCATTTTGTTTCTCTCAGCGCAAACATTAGTTCTCCTATGAAAAAACTTTAGCGAATATCTTCATCAACAACTGCTCATGTATACCACATGAGATATCTCAAGTTCACATTTCTGCTTTTTAGAATTGGTGGACATCTCATATCATTCAACATCACCATTTTTAGAATGCAACA